TATCTACGTACGGGCCCTTGAAAGTTTCTTCCGGGTAAGTTGCTAACTCGGAAAAGTGAGAAGCTAAGACTAGAATTTTGAAGGGATATTTCGTGACAGTCCTGGCGGCCAGTCTGAAATTCTTTTAGCTAGAAGCATCTAGCAATTGCCGTTGGCGAAAAAATCTGCGGGGAAAAAATCTGCTATGCAAAAAACACATCTTCGCACGGGCAGCCCGTGCGTTGGCCAATTATTTTATTTGTTAACTTGAAACTGGGTCGTAAAACCCAAACACACACATACGCACAGACAACCTCTGATGTATTTTCGTATGTCACCCGCTGCAGAAGTTTCAGTCTTGATACCATTGAGATCTGAATTTGTGCCTTTTACGCATCACCACTAATCGTCTGATCTCCGAACCACTCTTAGACTTTTTTTTAATTTTCAGGTGTCAATCGTGCAATTTTCGTCAACAGCAACGCTGAAAATGCCTTTCAAAATCGGTCGAAAACGCGATGAAGTCCTGGAAAAACTGGATGAAATTAAATTCACTGGTTCAGATACACGGATTGCGCGTGCTGTTGATCTAGCGCTTGCGGAGTTAACGCGTGCACGAAGACATGACGCCATTCAGGTATATTATTATTAGCGGGTAATGGACAAAACGCGTCTGCTCCTCTTCGATCTCTAAAGTGAACACTGCGCATGCCAAAGGAAACACGCAACCATGAAGCAATGAAATTTTGGCGTATCAGAAACCAAAAATCTTAAGACTTATTAACAAGTTCATGCAGTAGTGTAGTTGGATGAGTAGGCCAGTAGGTGACTGTTTTTTTGCCTCTGAAAAACCAAAGATATCGTGAAAATAAATGATTTGCAGCGTACTTACGCGCGCTTGTCACATCATCAGTATACTCAGTCTCCCTTATCCATTAATGTACAAAAGAAGCCATTCAGCGTTGCTAAAATGTTTTAAACATCAAAATAGCTAGATATGCTTGAAAATTTTTTTGTATGACCTAATTTGAAAGATGTAGCTTTAAAAACCTAAAAGAAAAAAAACTCCAACATCAAGTATACTATAAACCCTAAAATATCGAAGGGCGGACACGACCTTGCCCTTCCTTTCCTAACACATACCACTCCTGTGATGACACATTTTTATGCACATATACGGCCACAGAGCGGGTAGAGCCTCGTGCACCACATGCAGATCAAGGAATCTGCATGCGGCCCAGCGTGGTTGCTCCAAAATTAGTTCGACTTGAAAACAGACTTTTTTTTCCAAAACAGATTTTTCCAATAAACTGAAAACAG